AAACCCGGCCCCCGAAAAAAGGGGCGGAAAAAACCCCCAAAAAATGGATCCCCCCCCGGGGAGGGTCCCCCCCCTTAAAGGGGGGATTTTTTTTTTTTGGTTTCGGCCCCTCGGGGTGTTCGGATTTTTCCTTTTTTCCCCCCCCCGGGGGGGCCCCCGGGGGCCCCCCCCCGTTGGTTGGGTTCCGCCCGGCCTTTGGGGTTCCCCCCTTCCCATTCCCCTTGGTGTTCCCCCCCCCTTTTCCCCCCGGGGGGGGGTCCCCCTTGGGTAGGGGGTGGGGGTTCCCCCCCCCCCCCCCCCCGGGGGGTTCCGCGAATTCGGGGTTGTTTTTGGTTGGGTTTTCGAAATTTTCCCCGGAGCCAACCCCGGTGTTGGAGGCGGCCCCGGTGTTCCCCCAGGTGTTGTTGGTGGGGTTGGAAAATAAAGGGGAGGGCGGGGGGGGGGGGGGGGGGGGGGCAGTAAGGGTACGCAGATACGATCTGATTGGCGTACAGCTTGCCATTGGTGGTTGTAACCGTGACAAAACCTCCCGAACGTGTGTCGACAAAAACAGCCCCACCGTATGGGTCTAACGATACTAGCTGTCTACTGTTTGTTTTCTGCCTCTGGTATTGGGACCGTTGTTGCAATGGGTCTTGGCTGCTGGCATGAAAAACCTCTTCCCCCCTCTCCTTGCTTCCCTCCCTCCCTCCCTTCTTGCCCTCGTTCCCCCTCCCCGAACGTAATAGTGTCAATATTACAGGACACACTCTTTGATTTACCCTCCCTCGCTCCCTCACACATTATCTCCTTCCCTTCCCCCCCCCCTCGCTGTCTCTACTCTACCTCTTGCTCTGCCCCCACACCCCTCCTCCCCTCTACTTCCTTCGCGGCTCCCCCTTTCCCTTCACCGACATCGCTGGTCTGCCAAACCTCACGTATCTCACCATCATGTCGTCGTAGCCGCCCAACCCTCCCAAGTGTCCGTCGTAGCCGGCCTCCAGATCCTCGTCTTCGGCCGACAGAAACGCGTCCACTGCATCCTCCTCGCCAACGCCAACTCCAGGCACTCTGTCGAGGAGAAACATACGACCCCAGGGAAATGGGGTTAATGTTCAGCCAGCATCAGGCAGGCGGACTCAACAGCCCATGTCCATGTGCCAGAAAAATATATACATTACCATGATAACCCGTGAGGGGTGTTTCACCCTGCGTGTCGTGCCGGTCGGGGGAGGGGCAGGGGGGGGTTCTGTTTCGTGAAGCATGCTGGTGCTCGGGTTTACGGAACGTACCGTAAGTAAATACGGAACATACTGTTGGCACCACCCATCGTGCGCTCACTTGTTCATCTTGCTTGTGCATGTGGGCATATGCCCTGGCCAACTCTCCGATCCCCGTGTGAGAAACAATGGAAGTATAATCTCGTTCTCTTTGATACCGTAAGCAACCCGTTCCAACCCTCTGATCCGCGCGACGCTGAATAAATTTGGCAGCGACGCAGCTTGATGGTGGTTTAGCTTATAGGCATTTCGGTTCATATAGCTCTTTTACATCTTTCTGTACCATCTTCTGTCCCCCCCGACTTCGGCACTGTACCCCTTCTCTTACACCTTCTTGCTGCCATATGCCCCTTCTACATCCATCTGGCTTGTATCTCTTCTCTCACCCCTTCTTGCTGCCATGTACCTCTTCTACATCCTTAGGTTCCCTTTTCTGCCCTCCTTTCTTCGGCATTGTGCCCCTTCTCTCACCCCTCCTTGCTGCCATGTACCTCTTCTACATCCTTCTGTACCCTCTTCTGCTTCCCCCCCCCTACCCTTCTTCGGCATTGTACCCTTCTCTCACCCCTTCTTGACACCATGTACACCCTCCTGTACCATCTTCTGTGCCCCCCGCCCCCCCCTTCATTGGGTTTTCGTCGCTTGGCAACGACGTTGTAACAGAAGCCAATTCACTTCGTGAACTCGGCAACCAGGTTACCGTTTTTTTTTTTTGCCTCTGTTTTTTTTTTTGGCGGTACCCATGAATGGTGGTCGAGTAGATCATGCTGTGCGGGGTGGAGAACCCTCACTCCGCGCAAGGGGGATGATCGCACCACGTTGTGTTAAATTGGTCAAGCATCCTCGAGGCAGCTACACAGTGCTTACAACTGTCTCTGGAAGTGAAAGCACCAGAAAATAAATTAAGTCATACGCAGCTGTCATCCGTGCGCAAGGAAGTAAGCACAAGATGCCGAACACCCTTAGCAGGATGCAGCTCACCCTTCATGCGACTCGCCGAATACCTCACGGTGCTTCGCGCTTGGTGATGTGAGAGCCTGGTCCGGTGAGAACCCGGCATGCTCCGTCCCGGCTTTGTAGGGATGCGAGGTCAATGGTCTAACGACTACGGCATGCACGACTATGAGTACACCCCCCCCTTCTT